TAATTTGCGATACCTTTGTTTTGGAGTGATACATTATAGTGCTGATGTCATAAACTCTTTAATGCCTTTGTTTAGAGTGACATATTATAGACTAAGTGCCGATATCACAAACTCATTAATGAAAGTTATGGGCAAGGGAATCTACCTTGGAAGGTTAACAATAAACCAAGGTACTGAAGAATTTATAATTTGTGTCATAATATGGTAACCATGCAATAAGAATCATGGCAAATTGGCAATGCTTGATTTGATGGATTACAATTTGACATGTTTGAAATAATTGACAAATATATGACGACTCAAACCTGAAAACACGTCGAAAAGTTACCCACAGTCGACAAACAGAACAGGTCAGATATTTTAATAAACATACCTATATACCATAAAACCAGCATTGGTTAAAGAACTATATTTTTAGATGATTAATATTATATACGTAAATTACTTCAGAAGTTAACAGGTCACCGGTTTTTTTCTATCCAATTCGATCACCCATTTCTACCCTCTCTTCGTAGTAGGTCCATGACTGAATCTAATTTCCCTGTGTTTTGACATCGAGAATGACACATGACAGCCTTTGACAGGTGATGTGTTGCCCAGCCTGGTGCAATAATATCCGCTGTTATGATTGAATAATAAGGTTTTCCGAAACCCATCTTTTAATCTACAAAACGAATCATTCATAACAGTAGAGTAATTGTGTTATATTCATTTAAACAAAAATCTTCTTGAACTTGGGAAAGAATAAAGAAATGCACCTGTATTTTAGATACTTTAATTTTTCTTTTTTAATGCTCATAACTTTCGTTTGGGAAGTAGAACCAACCAACCACTTAATCAACCAACTAACCAATAACCCCATAAAAAAGATATATGAAAATAAATCAAACCAAACTGAACTGAACTGAAAGATATGCCTATTAAAATCGTTTTTTCGTTTAATAAATCTGTTTTCTGGTGTGCATATAATAATATTCAATAAAAGTGTCGCATAACTCATTAATATGTAGATTATAACAAGGTACGATTTTTCCATTATTCTCTATTCAAATGCAGGAAATGCAACCATAAAATAAATGCATTTATAGATTATCAACGTATGCTAATAACCTCGAGAATGATGGATATAACTGTTGTATCCATACTGTCACAGTATGATTAAATATGGTATGGATGTAGCCATTAACTTTAGTAACTCTCTATTGGCTTTTGTATTTAAACAAAAAGTCTTCGAGCACATTTACTTCCAATACCTTTAAGGCTGTAGTGTTCCGTTGAGTATGATGTTACGTAATACATTAGTAGCATCCTAGGAGTTAATTGGGTAGGCGGGCAGATGATGATACCTTCAAGCATGGCGATTACACGACAGGGTGAAAATTGAAAAGCATATCTGAAGATATAGCTTGAGAAAATCTTTTATTATGATGTTTAAAGGTCAAACTGGACTTGAGTCTTATTGATTCGTGATTGCGTAATGTATGAAGAATCTTGACATTTAGGGGAACTGAAGATATACTATATAGTGCATTCAACATGAGATTAGCAATCTGTATGCCACTCTCCACATAGGTGTGACATTGGTACCAATGTCACAACTAGGTGGAGAGTGGCAAATAATTTCTTGCCAGAGGAATTAAGTTAGGGCCGGGCTGTGATTCGAACCTCAAAATCTTGGATTGAGAGTCAAATGAATGAACCACTACCGTGTGAAAGTGCAAAAAGTGTCAAAGTGAGAGAATGAATTGAATGTATCAAATGAGATGCATTGCATTTGCTTTTTGCAGAAACAAACTTTTTTGACTCACACTGTATACTCCAACAACTTTGAGTGACTTCAAGCAATGGGCGACGCAAATTAATGTATCGCCGATGTGATCTAATTTTTATGGTATATGATAATGTTACCACGGCGATTATCGTTAAATCTATGTAATGAAATCCTGTGTTGGGTGATATTTCTCAGAATTGAGCTTGTACGCGCCCCATATGGCTAGTATCGCTGTTCTATCAATCTGGGGATTTCATTATACACTCCAACAAAACAGAAATTAATTAACCAGCTGAAGTACTAACAGACTGCCACTATAACGGTATCTTTCTACATGTATAATTCTGTCTTCTTACTCAAAGACTCTAAAAAAATGCCCTAACTTTTTTTTGTTAATAATCTATATTGAGAATGACCTCAATTAATCATCTTTATCAGGGTAATGAACCGTGATAAGCTCGAGCTCCAGGTTTATAATCGGTTTAGATTAATTTCTTATTGAAGAAGATTATAATAATGACAAAGAATATTCCTGCCTCCGAAGATCTGAAAGATTGAGATATATGTTATAATAGACCAACAATTTTCAGTCATATTATAGGCCTACTGTGTACCATCATCAGCCAAAGCAGCCACTGTTTTTCTTATGAAAAATTCGAAATGTGAAAATTGTCATAATAGTTCATTTAATGTTTATGATGAAAATTAGGAAGTTTGTTTGTTTTTCTTTCCGTACAAAATCATCACAACATACATACCATATCGGCGGATATCCCATTTCAGGTGTATTTACAAAATACGCCTGTTCTTCTATGGGGTCCGGATAAAAAGCTATTACAAGACGGAGAAGAAGAAAGAAGTAAGAATACGACTACAAAACTGTATATTAAAAGTGGATGTGTGATCGACTGTTGTGTTGATGTTGAATACAGCATGTAAGAGACCGTGTAAGATTGATGTTTAAACAGATAAAAACTGATCACGGTTAGAGCGGCACCCCTCTCACTGTCATCATTTTAGTTTTGGGTAACGGATCAGATTGTGCGATTGATCGAGAGCATGCGATTGCTATTCGCAGATTGCTATTCGCAGATTGCTATTCGCCAGGCTGTCGTTAACTTTCTCTCTTGAGGAGCATCTTAATATCCCGGCTGCGCATATTTTTTTTTACACAACTGTTTAGCCATTTTCGCGGAAAAATTCCAAGAAGTGCTCTGGTGAAAGAGTCTAGGTCGTCAGCGCACTGTGTGCCAGCACGTACACCCAGGGAAGGGAAGATGATAAAAAGGGGAAAACAAGAATAGTGGAGAGGATTATGGAGAAGGAAAAACAAGGAAATACATAAGGAAAGAGAAGAGGATAAGTCACAGGAAGAACATAGAAATACATAATTGAAGAGCTAAGAGGATCATAGATCTAGACTAAGGAAAAACAGGGAAATACATAAAGAAGGAGAAAGGGAATCTATCATATTAAAACAAAGAAATAGATGCATGACGAAGGAGAAAAGGATAGATTGAAGGAGAAACAAAGAAATACATAAAACAAAAGAGAAGAGGTTAGAATAAAAGAGAACAAAAGAAATACATAACGAATGAGAACTGGGGGATAGATTTGAAGGAAAAACAAAGAAAATTAACGAAGGAGAAAAAGGATAGATTGAATATTAAAAAAGAAATACATGAAAAAAAGAGAAGAGGATAGATTGAAGGAGAACACAACAATACATAATGAAAGAGAAGAGAGGATAGATATAACCCGAAACAAATAACGAGTATGTGATGTACAGCTCCAGCAATCCAACAAAACTGCTAAGGGTAATGCTAGACTCTGTCTTTAGTCGTTTGTACAGTATATTTAACTGAAGTGGCTAAACAGTTGTGTAAAAAAAAATATGCGCATCCCGGCTATCCCCACTCTATTCCAAAATCTTCGATGGGCCATTAGATGTTTTTTTATTACATGAACATGCCCCCCCCCCCACTAGAGTTCTAGCTCACTCTGTCTCTTTATGTCTCTCTCTCCCTCTCTGTCACGCACGCACACACACGCACGCACACTTTCAATCGTAAGAAATCAGTTACAAAAACTTATCATACTTATACCAAGGGCATTGACCGTAGGAGGTCTTTCATACTGTGTCACGTGAATGTTCACCCGCAAGAAACTCATTACACCGCCAAGGTAATTAGTCAAACCAAAACAAACAAAACAAAACAAAACAAAACGAAATGAGAAGTTAGAGCGAAAAGAGGATTATAGAGCCAAGGGAACCCATCAGAAAACCTATTACTGCCTGTGTTTATAATTTATATCTGCGTATTATGTTCACATTTTCAAGGTAGATGTTTAGGCGGAATTTCTGTCTCTTTTTAACAAAGTTCAAAATGATACTTTATAAGAGGTGGGGCGTGTATTTAAAAGCCTTTATTCCATTGACGTATGAGGTGACGTTCATTGGGGGTAATATCAAAGGATCGGCGTTCCTTTGTAACACCTAGGGCAAGGTCGGTGCTCATCCATTCTTTTCAGATTTTAGAAAATTCTATTTCCTTCTCATGATTCAAATGCATAAGTCAATGTTTATAAATCAACACACTAGAAGGCAAATTTCCTTGGGTTAGGAACGCCATACACTACTCTTCACAACTCATTCTCTTTTTTGTAGTATTATCTTCGCTGCACGCATTTCACTTCAAAGGCAATAAAAAAAATGGTTTAGATCTAATACACACCATGCCATTAAATATGACACCACTACGTAACACAGTAGCGCATGCATGCACTATTATTATCTGTTACAAATAATAATTCACGCGTGCGGCTGTAATATAATTTTGGTATTGATATCTCTTGAAAATTACCTTGAAACAGATGCAAGAGCTCTTTACATATATCTGATGTCAGATTAATGATGCTACTTGATCCTTCCTAATAAAGGCCGTGGAAGTAATACGGACCTATTGATCATCGAGAATATTTGTATTAGAAGCTTTTATTGTCCCTTCCACTGGCGTATCCAGGCTATGATAGAAGCCGACGGACGCCATTTCATTTAAAATCCCAGGAAAAGTAGGTTGAATAACTTAAAATGGGTTTTACATATGGTTTTTACACAAGTTAAACAAAACCAAAATTACAAATAAACCTGCAAATTACAATACAATCATATGAAATATACATCAATGTGAACAGAGTAAGTTAATCGTCAAAAGCAATTTGAATAAATGTGTTTTAACACAAGTTTTTAATTGGTTGACAGTCTGACAGTTTTTGACATGTATAACGGTAGTTTGTTCCAAAGTTCAGCTTCTGCATCTGTTTCTTGTAACTCTTTTTCATCCGTTTCTTGTAATTGTTCATTGTAATCCTCTCCCATTTTGTAATCAAAGAAGTATATGCAATATTAAGTGAAAATATACTCGAGGACTTTTTAGTTCATGATCTTCATCTTTTTTCAACTTTATAATGCGGCGTCTGCTCTACTAATATTTTCTTTTTAACCTTGCCGTATTTCACTTCTAGACCAAATGACTTCGAGGGTTCGGGCAGAACATCACGCTGTCGTTACTGACGACCTTATAGCTCAATTTGTCATTATCGCAAGAAAGAGAAGAAGAGAGGGCGTACCGATTAGTAATACTAGAGAATCTATCTCTATGCTTGCAAGTGATATAAACTCGTGCTCAATATTACATGTAGGGCCTATACCTGTAGTAGTCGTGTCGTACAAAACAATACGCGAGTTTCTTCTGCAGACGACAGTAATTTGATCGCCGATACCGCGATGATATCTTATCCGATTACCATGTGCATGATGGGATGATTGTCTGGCTGATTTATCCACGACTTACCGTTTTCATTATAAATCTATTCTGTTGCTGTGTAAGGAAACGACCGTTGTATACTCTGGATGAGTTGACGTCGACCATTAGTATCGTGATGATCCAATTATCATCAGGAGACAAAGCATTCTGATCGCGAATCCAGCTTCGATAATTTGTTTGTTTTGAGAAATTATAACTGGAAATTAAACTCTTGGGACAAAATACCGTCAGAGAGAATCGAGTTCCCTCCTGCCTCGTGCATGTATTTACGATGCTTTCTTCATTAAAGCCAGAGGCATGATACAACATATTTTGAACTGCGCTTCTACTTTAGAATTGTTATAAAAATGTTATACGGATTGCAATCTATCAGTTCTTCGGATGGCTTAGGTGTAGTGATAAATCTAACAGCAGACATGCGTTTCAATCAGGTAAGTTCGTTATCATATTTGTATCTAAATCATTACATTCAACAGACGTTTAATGTTATCATGGTAATGTTTCCGATTCGCTTTTAAGATCAGCAAAGACATGATGTAAGAATGCAGCTATCGCTCTTTGTCAAGTTTGTTGTTTTATTTTCAATGGCTTTTAATCATCATTTGGGGACGAACTCTGATAGCTAGTGGAGGGTTGATAATCTAATGTTTTGATTTATTCATATTATGGTGTAGACTTCCCCTTACCTTTTTGTTTATTTTAGAATAGGCTTTTTAAAATTCCCTGTCAGTCGTTAACGTCATTAGTGCATTGATGGTTATCATACATTGCCTTTGGCACATGGTTCATTCATTCATGAACATTTTCATGAAGTAGGCTATTTACGCACATTCTTACAATAAACATAATCTTACACGTGGATGTATTATTATTGCATTCGGAAGGAATTAACGAAGAAGGTATAGATTGAAATGGAATGGGAAGCATAGTTTGTCAACTCCAACAAGGTTTGCGCACGATCTCGAGACAACTATTTGAGATGTGAAACACACAATGACTGATTTTTAAAATAACTAGAAGAAAACGGTCTTGACTTTATTGCCAGTTTGTTAGCCATTCTTACATGAAAACAATCACGCTTATGATTATGTATTCAGTGTCACTCGTTTTTTTGCTGGTGGTGAATTAACAGGACACAGTCCTAAACTTGTTTTGCATACCTTTACCATTCTCGATTCATGGGTATAAATGTGACTGTTCTACGTCAAAACGGTATATCTTTCGTCTCTACTAGATAAATAACAATTTTTTTTATAGGATTACATCGATTTATGTACTATACAAATGATGGGCAAATATTAGCAAACAAGAGGGTTGTCGATCGACAGAGCGGATTAATGTATGCCAAACTATTTTCTTATGTAGAAGCAAAAACTGTGTCTTGCATGTTGGGCAAAACACGAAGCATTTCTCAAGTTGGTATTTATTATTTATACCCAGTACTTTTCAGCTTGTGGTGTTAAAGCCGTCCGTGATAAGTAGGTAGGCCTACTACGATGCAAAACTGGTGATACGACTTAATGAAAAATATTAATTCCGCATGATATTTCCATAAAATTGTTTGCATTCATCAGTAACTATGAGCAAGAATGCTTTCAACACTGCGACTATATTCATAATCACGAGCAATCCCACTGCCCTTGCTCTAAGTATGTAATTGGTTCAAATGATACCTGGAGTATTACTCAGTCAGTTAAAGGTACTGGTTACATTGTGATGGTTGAGTTTCCAAAATCTGTTGAATCAGGATGCAATACACATACGATTATGTTTGTATGTATGGACTATCCAACTAAAATGCCCCAAATCCGAAATGAATTCACGCAATATGAATTTTTTAAACAAAGTTTAACGGGATTTCGAACGACGTCGCCATTTCTGAATCTACTTCGAAAAACTGTGTTTCTATACACTTTCGTATTCTTCTTTGCATGGTATTCTAATAAATGTTTACATTCATCAGTATGAGCGTCAATGCATCTGCACTGTGTCTAGTTTACGAGCAACCATCACTGACGTTGTGTTTAGTAAACTGAGTTTTATAGTGCTAATGAAACCTGGAGTGCTATAATAAGAACTCGGTCAGTGAATCACACCTGTGCTCGGCTCTACATGCCAAGAAGTATTAAAGCACCACGCAAGGCCCGATTTCCATTCATTAGCTGAAATCAAAACAAGTGATTCATATTTCATAAACCTACGCAAGACATTTATTTACGTCTGCCACCCCATCCAGGTGTAAATGGATATGTTATGATTAAGCTTGAGGGATACATAATAATTGGCCCGCTCGCCTATAATCATAGTAATGATATACTGTAATATAGCGCTTTGATTTAAAGCCCCACTGTACTACTTGTAGCTACTTGCTCCCTCTATATAGAAAACTTCCCCAATCGGTGCCTGTTGGTCCCCCGTGATCCTCTTTTTCTTATGTTAGTTGACAGCTGAGTTTATAAAGAGATAGCCACCTGTCAGTGACCTGGCTGGGTGGTCTAATCCCTTCTGGCCCAGTAGTATTGACGGTCTTTAACAGATACGCCAAGATGTGTGGCCCATAGTCTACTTTTGAAGGCAGTGAGAACAGGGTTCAAAGATATTCATCTTTTGAATAATTACATATAGAAAGAACACATGCATCAATGACAAACTTCAACGTCTTTCAAATTGAACGTACGTACACAATTGTGGTTTTTATCACTGGCGTACTGATGGGGAGGGGGTGGGGTGGAAGCAGTTGCCCCTCCAAATAATGGTTTATTTCTAATTCGATATCAGTGATTTACAAATGCTGCTGAAATGAAATGATTTTCGGGGGGGGGGGGGGTGTTCTCACTTTTTTTGTGTAAATTATGCGTTCCCCCTCCCTTATAAAAACAAATTGCCCATTATGCCACCTGGTGGTGATGTGGATTTTGTTCCCTCCCCCCAATTTTTGTTTTGCTCATTACGCCGCTGGTTTTTATAATTTGTATCATCCTCTCAGTTAACAATGATTAATTCCTATGCTAGCGTAGGCCTAATATCGTGCGTGTTGCTGTGTAGACTGCAGTATGTCGCAACTAATTAGTCATAATTCATAGTGCACGAAACCCACGACACATTTGCAAACATAGGCCTACTTAAAGTTACGGAAACGTTTTAAACATCCAAGAAATATACAAAATCTATATTTTGCATATTTGAGTTTATTATATTTCAAATCCATTTTGCATTCCGATTTTACCAGTTTCTTTGTGGAAATGTTCTTGTTATTGAGCTTTTGATCAGATAAAGATAATTTGTACCCACTATCCTACAATCAACATCCTATACACAACATGCCTAAAGAAATATCCTATTCACTTATTATTCATCTTTAGCTTGATGAATCAACGTATAGATCATTAAATGAAAGTGCTTGTATTGATATTCATAATTATCCACCACCGCTTCAGTCATTTAACCCATATTAAAGGTAAAGACCAGTTATGGTCATGCGATTGCATTGTGAAAGAAACGTTGTGGAATCGATCAGAAAAGGTTGATCATCTAGTATTTAGCATCTGCAAGGTTCTGGAATCATCAAAATGATAAGAAATTTGGCCCATTCTTTGTAAAGTTACAAGCACTATACACAGAAAGATGTATATGGGACTACCCTATATCTCTCACAGACCATGAGAGAAACAAATTTACCAAATATATGAATTAGTAGGCGGTTTCCAGGCAAATTTTTTATCATCATGTATTAGTCAAAACATATTCTTTCACATGATTGGTAATGAGAGCGTCCATTTCATTTTTTGAAATTGGGGCGTTTCCAATACTGGTCTTTACCTTTAACCAAAAACGTGACACATTATAGCGAGAACGAATATTAATGATATTGGGCTCGCTGGACTCGCTATAACACGCGTATTAATTTTATACTTCGTGATATATTTTTTGGTGATGAAAACGTTGAAAGAAGTACAAACAACAATTATACTGGAGTTAAAAAGGGCTCTTGAAATTCAAGGGTTAAATTAACAATGATTGGAAACTAGAGTAATGATGAAGATAATGCCATATGAAAGGGGAATAAGACGCTGTTTATATTGGAATAGGCTTGGGTGTTTACACATAAAGATGTCACGTTCGTCTTGAATTTCATTTCCTCCAAAGGAAGTGATAATATTGACAACCCGTGACGGACGAACGTATATCATGGTCATGGGCATTGCGTGAGAAAACTGTCATTAAAAACAACTTGTTTGGTACATTGTTGATGTTACTGGTATTCGCAAGGTCCTGTTAATAAGCATGAAGTCCTTGATTACAAGTCATTAAACAGGATACTTTTGGATCTTTAAGATATTCATCCGGAACACTTGGAAGATCGGTCGGTTTCAGGAACAATAGAATAATAACTTTCATGATTATACATGTATCTGAAGAAATCAAATTGAAACCGGTCATAGTGAAAAAGTGAAATTTAAAGGATTTTCATCTCAATTGTTTTAATATTTTCACATATAAGTATGCTAGGAAATATGAGAGGTACTTGACTGACGTATAAACAAGGAATTAATAGAAGTTTCAAGTTTATTAGCATTTCATATCGCTTTCTTCGTGGAGGATATTTTTCTTAAGAACACTGACATTAATGTTGTTTGAAGTGATTGGTGGTTCTGTTAAAGGTAAAGACCAGTTTTGGAAACGCCCCCCTCTCAAAAAATGAAATGGAAGCTCTTATTACCAATCATGTGAAAGAATATGTTGACTAATACGTGATGATACAAATGTCGCCGGGAAACCGCCTACTGATTGATATATATGGTCAATTATTATATCTATCTGGACCGGATAGATATCGCGCAAGTGTCGCGTAGTCCCATATACATCTTTCTATGTACAGTGCTTGTAACTTTACCAAGACTGGGCCAAATTATGATTCCAGAACCTTGCAGTACACACCAATACTTATATGCTAGATGATCAACCTTTTCTGATCGATTCCACAACGTTTCTTTCATGCGATCGCATGACCAGAACTGGTCTTTTACCTTTAAGATGTATTTCATTTTCAGGGTGTTATGTTCCTGTCCACATAATGCCAAAGTCCATGCATTGAATGTGACGGAATTAGAGTCATTCCGAACATGCCGAAATAAAGTAAAGAAGATAAATCTACTTTATTTCTGTAAACTTATCAATCATTTTTTGGAGGCTCGACGACACCAAAATGCGATTGATCACGAAGGAATTATGGGTATTTCTTTAAAGACGCATACAGGGTCGACTTAATTCATCAGTGCTCAGTTGGATATCTTCTGTTACCACCATCAGTGATTATGGCATTTCAACAAAAATACATTTCCTAGATATTTTTTTTAATGGAGAAATCTTTATTTCAGAAGAATTACGTGCTTTGTTCACCATAAACATCATGTTTAGTTTTTTTTGTTAC